ATTTACTATAATATATAATTTAGTAGATAGAATAAGTTTTGATATTAATATACATTTCCTACCATATTAATTATTTAAAAATAATAATAAAAATGTACTAAAGTGTAAATCAATATATATATATATATACTTTTAAATGTTTTCTTAATAATTTATTTTATATTTCTATCACTGTGATTGATATTACATATTCAAAAATAATTAATAAGTAGGATTTTATATTTTATATGTTAAAATATTATTCATACATTAAAAGAATTATTATTTTATGCATTATGTAACATAATGCGTTAGTAAAATAATTAAGCATTAATGAATAATTGTAAGTACTTTTATGTTGTATATTTATTTATTCTTTTATTTTTCCTGTTTTTTCATTTTAATAAATTCAGGAACTAATGGACGATATAATAAAAGAATTCACTTTATTGTGAAATATAGAAAATCATGCGACATATTTGTCTGTATATGCATATGTATAATAACAACGATATAAATTTTTTATTCCTATTTTATCAAATATAATTCATTTAATATTAATTCTTATATGCAATTTTTTTTTATTATTACATTAAACGCTTCTTAAAAAAATAAAAATGACTTATATTATTTATCTTTTCATTATTTACTCGACAAAATCTGATATAATAATTGAATATAAAATTTATTTAATTATTAGATGAATGATATGATTGAGAAATTATTTTTTTTTATTATATATATTTATAATACGATTGCAATAAATAATATATAAAATTTGTAAGTGTTATAATATATATTATAATTATTTTTGATTTTAACCTTATATTAAACTATATACGTTTTACACATTTTTGCTTCACATGATATATTGTTTATTATGGAACTTATATAATTCAAAAATTTCACTGATATATTGTTATTTATATATACATTTTATAATAATATAATATATGAATGGATAATTTATTTACATAATCAACATACACACAATTAAAAATTTATTAAAAAAACACGATTAATAAAGTTTCAAATTAATGTATTATTGAAATACATTAATTCTGTATAACAAAAGAATACACATATGATGAAATTATTATTTCTTATTTAAAGAAAATGCATTATATATCACTTTTAAATAAATATTGTTTTATATGATATTAAATTCCCCAAATGAATATTAAATAAATATTCTTTAAAATGCATAAAATAATACATGAGTATGTACCATTATTAATATAATATATAAAAAAACATGAGGAAAATAATTTTATTTTTTCATACTGTGGAAATAAATTAAAAAGATACATTTTTCACACTTATAAATATATTTCATTTACTTAAACATAATATTTTACACTTTGTTATTCAGCTTCTATATAGAATCTACATACATGTGAATTATTTTGTAATTATAACAACTATCATTAATTTTTTTTCCATGTATTAATAAATTTTTATCCTATTTAAACTTCTTCGTCTAATTTTAATATATTTTTTTTTTATTTATGTTTACTAAAGGTGTTAACTAGGAACCTAATTTAAATAAAAAAAAATTTCTATGTTTCTATTATTAAACACTATCTTAATATAAATTAAATAAACATGTTAATATAAAACAAGAATAAGTAAAAATATATTTTATGTATTAATGTATACATGTTAAATTATGAGAGTGCAAAATATATGTATGAACCTATTATATCAGATTAGTACATAAAGAAAGAATTATGCTATTAAAAGCAAATTTCTTGAATATTTTATTTATATCTTAATATATTAACAGATAATATCTAGTTTGTTTTTCGTTTAATATATATTAACAATTTTCCATATAACATATCCGTAGGTATATTTTTGTTGCTATTATATGTTTATGGAATCTTCCGTTAAATTCTTTTTCTATATTAATATTTCTTGTAATTTAGAACAGTATTATAATTCATGATATAATTATTATAATATTATTGGATTATATTAAATATTTCAACCTTTCTAATCATACTACTGATGTTATTTTATATAAAATGCTCTATTTTACATAATTGAGTAGTATATTAAAATATTAGAATTTTATATTATATTCATATAACAAAATATATATTTGTAGGTAATAAAAATTATTCATTAATTAGTCTTCAATTTAGGATTTACTATGCGATACATGTAACCGATATGTTTTTAATATTTTTGAATTCAAACATACTGTAAAATATAAATGCTGTTTTTTTAATGACATTACTTATATTAAAATATAATTAAGTAATTTTGTTATTATTCCATGAATATATGATATAGAAGTCATTTGTGATATAAGTATTTGTACCATCAAATAATATTTTATATAATTTAATATTACATCGAGAAAGGGAGCAGTACCCTAAAAAGTAGTAAAATAGATAATACACATATTATGTGGGTGCTTGTTTTTCTCATAACAAAATTCATGAATTAATATTGGAGATTTTAGTTATATTTTAAGAACTCATAGCATTTATATAAGCTCTTTATTCTGCATCTCAACCTATTATGTGGGTATTATGTTTTCCTATGTACCTCAAATTGGAATTGATCAGAGGCAAATCATCAGAAATATATTTTAAATATTATCGTTATATTTGAAATTAAATATTCATTATGCAATAAAAAAACATGCTCTTTTTAGGTGCTGTATATATTTTTATAAGTTAATAACTTACATAATTAGAATAATTAATAATTTTATATTAAATATTAACTCTTATGAATTTTGCTTATATATAATATAATAAGTTCAATAATTAGAAAATATTTTATTCGTATTCATGAATAAAACTTGTTTTTTGTAAAATATATACTCCGTGCACAAGCTTGCGCGAAGCATTAATAATTATATATATAAGTTTATTTAATGACATGTTATATGACAATACCATACTCTTTAGGGAATACATATTTAATTAACATGTAGACAAAAAAAAACAAATGTACGTTTTATTAAAAATAAAATAGATTAAATATATTTATACTTACCTATCAGTTTAATATAAATTAACAAAAATAATATAATGGATTATTTTTTTTTTTGCTTTGTAATAAATGATAAAGTATTTTATGTGCCTCATTAATTCTTGCTATATTAATATCAATATAATTAACATTGATCTAACTTATCGATGAAATTTTACATCAATGATATAATTATAAAGAGAAATTGTGTATTTATTCATACTAAATTTATTTATTGTAAAGAATATATATTGTAGGTTAATAAAATAAATTACTTTTTATTGACCATTAGCAGAAATTAAAATTTTATATGAGATGTAATAAATTGAAATAAGTTATTTTTAATATTATATAAATTACAAAAATATAAAAATTCAAATAATATTTTCATAGCATATTTTTTCTTCTGTTATTATTTATTTTTAAAAAAAAAATTTAATTTATAAATGTAATTAATTTTCATATACTATATTAAAATTATAAGTCCTTATTATTACTATATCGAGGATGTTGTGCTGAGCTATATGCTATGCCATATTTATTATCAACAAAATTTTTGTATTCCTTTTCAACGGAATCTCTTAGGTAGAAACGTTCAATAGATCTTTTATTTCTCACACTCTTTAAATTCCGTATACATGATTTTAATTTGTATCCGTTAGGAGTACACTGATAAAAAAGTGTGAATACTATATTCTATAAGTAGATCATTAATTATACAGAACATACATAAGGATTATATTTAATATATGTGTAAAAATATATACGTATACAAAGTTAAATTTATTTATAACCTTATATAATATGAATATTACTATTGAGATTGCAAATATGAATACAGCAATTCCTGCCCACATACCTCTTCCTAGTATTTTGCTTCTTTGTGTCATATTTTCTAAGTGCAATCCTGCTTGAGAATCAACGTATTCAGTTCTGGATTCTTCTGTGAATTCTCCTTTGGTTACCTTATTGGGAACTGGAGGAACCACACTTAATAATTCTAGACTACCCTGTAATGCAGTAGTGTCACTTCTATTTGCAGGAGCATCGTACTCATTTATTCTTTTCATAATCTCATCATATTTCACATTATATTCATCCAATAAATTATTTAAAGAACGGTTTACTCTTGATACATTTATTCCTGAAAACTCCTTTAACATCTCTTTAAATTCATTCGCAGAACTACGTGCTTCTGTAATAGATAGTGAATTATCATGTTTTCGCAATTCATCAAACTTATTAACCATATTTTCCAGTTTTACCAATGTATCAAATGTATCATCAAGGTCTATATTATACTCATTACATATATCACGAAAATTTTGAACATGAGACCAAATATTATAATTATTATTAGGATTATTTATTCTATTACAAGCAGCTTGTATAGCTTCATTATTTTTACAATTCAAATTGCTTAGTAGTTTTTTTAGAAGGTAACCGAAGTATATGCAATTTTTTTTTTTTTCCACTTCGCGTCTGATTTGTATGTGATATAAGTAACGACCAAGTGATCTACAGTGAATAAAAAACCCCTCTAAATCACAATTATAATTCTTAGAATCATCATTAATAAATTCCATGCACGATCTATCAATATGATTATTTAGACTTAAATATATACCGCTAAATGGATAAGCAGTTTGAGCCTTATTATATTCTTCTTCACATTCAGGAAATATACCATTAAATTCGAACTAAAAATAGAAATCATATTATACATATGTTTTTAATATAGATATTATGAAAACATTTATTATTTTTATTTTTTCATATAATATATTTTAAATTTAAATTATAATTTTATTAGTAATACAAAAACATATTTGAATTCGCAATTACTTCCTCAGACATTATGTTTTGCATGTGTGAATTAAAACAATGTAAACTTTTATATTTTTTATAATAAATTTTTAATACTATAATGTTCTCAAAAAATGGTACAAGACATCTATATGTATTATATATTATAATTTATTAATTTATATGTTTTCATTAAATTCTTTTTTTATATATTATGCTATTGAAATATAGTTATTTATTCATAAATAGAACATATATTTATATGAATACATAATATGTAGAATACATACATGATAATAGAATAATAAAAAAATGCTAAATAATATAAATTATGTTTCTAAGAATGATATATATATATAATTATATATAATAATTCAGTTTTTTTATGGAAAATTCATATAGCATACATTTATGTAATCAAAAGCTCTGAACTAGCATATTTACTTATATATTAATAATTTGGTTCTCAATATGGAATATAAATGGGATTCATTTTAATAATTTTTTCTTTACAGTTTATCATATACTTTTACTTTTATTCTTTTTTGATAATTATTTTTAATAATAATTTCTGTACGTAAGCACCAGTAATTACCTATTCCTGTAAAATGATTAATAAATACATATTAAAAAAATTTATTATGATTTATTAAATCATTTATAAATATTATACAGAATGTATCTAATGTAACTTAATTTGAATTAGTGATTAGCATCTTTATAATATACAATGCACTTTAAAATTATAATAATATATATTTATTATTTCGTATAAATAATTATAAAACACATTTTATCTTCAAATTACAACATATTTTAAGATATATATTTAATATATATATTAAATAGATATTTTATAATTAAATTAAGTATTACTTATATTTCTATAATGTGATTCCTGTAACAGTTATACTTTATGTTTTACTCAAACATATAATATTATTGGTAATCATATAAATAACTTATCATCCATAATATATTAAAATTAATATATAATTATTTTATATATATTTATCATACTAATATATTCAATATATAGTTATTATTTCCCTAGATATATATTTATTACACATACTTATTTTGTTAATTATTCAAATTAATATATACTTGCTCAATATTCTATATAGTACAGTTCATATATAATATAAACTAATACATTATTCATTATTTATGTAAATAAGAATGAATTTTAAGCTTTTATTATTATTTTTCCCCATCAAAAACATTATATTCACTGTATATATTTCTATGTTTATTTATATTTCAATTAAAATTTTTGTTTTATATGAATAAATTATTTTATATTTAAATTTTTAAATAATTATAAAATATTTATTAGTGCTTAAAAGTCCCTAACACATAATTACACAATATACAGATTTGATATAAATAAAAAGCTGAATTTTTTACAAAAACATTCGTACTTTATTATATGTAATAAATGTAATATTTTTTTTTTTATATATTTCAAGCTAAATTAAATGTTTCCTTAGTAGTGCATAAAATGCGTGTGTTCATTAAAAAATAAATTAAATTAGGAATTAATATTTTTCTAATATTACAAATCTTTCTATTATACATTTTTAAAAATCTTATACTACACTAGGATACAAATAAAAATTACTGTGATTAGAATATGTTCATAAACCATGATTTAGGGTTTTTTAAAATAATGCTTTCTGTATTAACCTGAAGTAATGCAAATAATAAAAATAAAAAATATTCAATAAAAAATAATTTAAATATAATTTTATTAGTAATAATTATTATCAAAAAAATTGCATTATAATGATAAAAAAACACGATATATATTCCTAATTTTTTTTACAGATAAGAAAAGCCTTTGAAAATAAAATAAGGACAAAATGATAAATGATATTAATAAATATACTTTTTCATATTTATCAATACATTTCATATGTTGTTTATTTAAGACATTTTTTTAAAAGATATAGATATATTTATATATTAATGTGTTAAACTATATTATACATTTTTCAGAGAAAATATTGTATAATAATGAATATAAAATATAATCTAATAAAGGCTCTTAAATATTTGATTAAGTCTCAAAATTATATAATTGTCCCCCACACATAATTAGATTTATTTCAGATTTTTTATTCATTTACACCAATATCCCCCTTTAGACTTTATTGTTCTTTTTCAATATAAATGTATTGCATTGATGTTATACATTTATTTTTTATTTATTATATTATATTCCTTTATTATATCAGTATTATAAATAAATGTGTGAATTCTTGTTTCTTCAAAGTGTATAAATTATTATAAACCAAATGCTTATTAAGCTAAATATAAGTGGGATAATTTTCATTATAATTAAATTTATATAAACAGAATGTATCTATTTATATTTTTTGTTATATTAAGTATATATATTTTGCATGATATTGTGTTAACTATTATATTTTGTTTATATGGTTGAGTAAAAACGTTTTATTCATTATATAAAATATATTTCCTAAATTATTTTGAAAATTTTATATTAATTAATTTATAATTTTATACACTATTTATCGATGTAATTTTATTGTCATTTAATATTAACATTCTATAAAGTACTTAGAATTTCATTATTATTATATATTTTTCCATAAAAATTACAGAAATTTGTATATAAGCTTAATTTTAATAAATAATTGACAATTTTTTATAAAAACATAATAACCATGTAGAAGAAATAGAACAATATATTATAAAAATATAAACTTTCTTTTTACATGAATGTGGATACATTTTTCATATAACATATTTTTATTATTATAAAGAATAACTAATATTACATTATTTTTTATTTATTAATAAATTTCCTTTGTGCATAATCGTATGTCATATGGTAAAATGAGCTTTATTTATGTACAAATAACTTATATAAAGTGCATTATCATTTTTATTTATATCTATATATTATGAAATATAATAAATCATATTTTTAATGCTTTTAAGTGAAATTATTTCTTTTTTTGTCTATAATTTTTTTTACATTCATCCAAAAAAATTATACTATAATTTAATAATATATTATAGTACTGAAACTACATATTTATTATTTTAATAATTTATTATTAATAAATTAAAAAAAATATTATTTATATAAATATTCCTTTTTATCCTTTTTCTTGTGCATTATATATGTTTTTTATAAAAGTATTTTAAAATGTTCATATTTCAGGTTTTAGTGTTTCAGGGTTCAGGGATCAGGTATCTTTGTTCACGGTTTAGATTTCATTTATATTGCAATATTTTTTAACAATTTATAGAATGCCAAAAGGAAAAAATTTATTTTTATAATAATAACAAATGTACTACATATATAAGATCTTAATATGAAATAAACTTCTATAATTTTTATATCTACATGTATTTATAAAAATTATGTGTAATATAATTTCACATGTATAATAGTGTTGTTTCATACAATAGCATTCGTATTAATCAATTTTTTAAATATTTTATAATAATTATAACTCATATTTTATTATAATTACAGGTATTTAATAATTATAAAAGTGTTCTTAAATTTTATTATATCATAAAATTTCGTGATGTAATATAAGAAATCTATTCAATAATTCAATTATGATGAAATATTTTTATTTTAATAAGCAATTTTAAATTATATTATATAGTACTACAATAAAGATTTTATAATATAACTTTATATAACATTAAGAAAACATATTCTTGCAAGCTAATGTATACCAAAGTAAGCATGCTGAAGTTTTATTCATAATACTATTATTTACGAATTATTCTTTAAAGGATTTATATTTTAAGCATTATAATATCATTTTTTTGAATTATTACCAAAATATATTAATATTTATTTTTTATATTATTTATTATATAAATGGGCTATGAATATATTTATGGAAGTATGCCTGATAAAATTTTGATAAAATATTTTAAAATTTTGTTTAAAACAAATGCTCTCTTAGAATTATAACATTAATGGAAAATTAGTCAAATTTATATGATACATTATAACTAATATCATTTAAAATCATTCTTGAAGTTTCAGGTTGGAATATGTTTTCTTCGTTATCCATATTATTCAAATAATTCTTTTTTTTTAATATTTTACGTTGAAAAAGTGAGAAAATATTTGTATACTAATTCAAGTAAAGAATTAATTATGCAATAATAATATAATTTTTTTTTATTTATTTGGAATTTTTAATTTTTATAGAATAAATATATATAAAAAAAAATATGATTAACCTTATAAAAAATAAATGACAAAATGCATAATAATAGCATCGTAGAAAATGTAATTACAATAGGAACTCCGATATTTGTTTTACAAGGTGTTGCTATTTCTGAAATATTGACTCCCATATCTTTTGTTTCGGTAATAATATTATATTTATTTTTAAAATCATTTATTGACTTATGAAATTTCAAGTCATTATAGTGTATATTTCTGTTGTCTACATTAGTAACATATGAATGCATACCATGTACAGCCTTGAGTATTGCAAAATCATGAACAGTAATAGAATCCTCATAATTACGGCATTTATGCCTTGTTATACCTGGTACACCACCTTCAATTATTTTCAGAAAAGCATCATAATTATCTTTAATATCTTGTATTTTATCTAAATGTTCGAGATTATAGGACAACCAGTAAAAAAAATATTTACATGCAGCTTCAGTTAATATGTCTTCAACCATATTATCTATGTCCACTAAATATAAATTAGCTAATGTGCAAATATTCGCTTTTTTTAAATTTTCATCTTTTAAGTACTCTTTTAATTCAGGTTCAGACGACCCGCTACATATTTGTTCCCATACACCTCCACGATCCACATTTCCTTTTTGTTTGTCTAAAATATCCATGCATATTGGAAATAAATGAACAAAATCAAACTAAAAGAGAAATAAAAATGATTAGTACAAATGTTATACCTCATTCTATAAATTCTTTTATGATATAAAATATATATGATTATACGAATTATTATATAGCAATTGGCAATATAACTCATAAAACCAACAATTGATGTACTCATATCAGAAAAGATTGTATATTATTTCAAGTAAAATAAATTAAAAATAATGAAATTAAGAAGTATATATCTATATTCATAAATAATGATATATCATATGAGGAATAATTGATTTCTTTCTTTCGTAATCATGGAATTTTTGTAGATATATTATCTAGTGATATGATCATTCATATTTTTAGAAATTATAATTTATTTTAATGAAATGTTGAAAGAATTATATAAATTTTTAATAACTATAATGTATTATTTATAATATAAAAAATTCAAATTATTAATTGAAATACATTATTAAATATATTATCTTATATAAATATAATAATATATTTTGTGTAATATATTCATTTATAAATATATATAATATTAAAATGTTAATAATTTGTATTTGAATATAATTTTTTTTTCATATATATTATATTTATTACAGTAATATTTATAAAAAAACATAGAGAATATTATTATAATTATATACTATTCTTGAGTATGTAGTAATTTTATAACTCAGGGTCCATAGTTCAATGTTTAGGTTGACGATTAGTTTTATGTGTTGTTGTTTTAGCTATCTGATTTTAATATTTAATTTTTATGTGTAAGTTTTATTTTTTTTAGCTTAGTTTTTAGTTCTTATTTTTTATTTATCATTTTTTATTACATTTTTGCCCCTAATTAATTATTTGTTGCTATTATTATTATTACTATTACTTATTTATAAAATATGCCGTGAATTCACGAAATTAGTACAGCTTAGTTTATGTGATTTTTATTAAAATAAGAAGATACTATGTCATAATTATGTATTTATATACATATATTATTATTCATATATAATACACTCTGAATAAATATATTATTTCACTATATGTGCATAGTTGTATTTGTTTTATTCGTGGTTATTTTTATATTATTTTTTTATATATGTATATTAAATATATATATAAAAAATAAAATGAGTTATCATTTTTGATTGCCTATTATATATTTTACCTATATATCTTTTTATTATACAAGTGAATTATTATATTTTGTATTATATATTATGATGTATTAATATAATTATTATTTCTTAATCCTGAATTTTTAGTGCCATAATGCAATATATATAAATATATATATATTTAGGATTTCATTATTCCATGTACAATTATATTATAATGTTGTGTTTTTTTTATATTTTTTATTTCTATTTTTTCATATGTTAGCATTCTCAAATTTCGTTTACTTAATATAACAAATGAATTCATTTTATAAAGAAATAAAGGATCTTATACGATGTATATTGCTATATATAAATAAAAAATAATAGAGGTGTTAATATTTACATTACTATTTTAATATTAAATTCACACTGTCTTAATTTCACAATATTTATAATTTTTTTATAATTATTTATTGAAAAAAAATAAATTTTTTTTAAAATTTTTTTCCTATTAAATAATCTTCAAAATGAGACTTTAGAATTAAATTTAAATATAACTAATTCTTATGTAAATAATAAGCTTGAAATAATAATTTATATATAATATATATTTTAGGAAGCTATAAATAAGAAATATAATAAAATTGTATATCTCAGGCATATGTTTTATTGATTTCTTTTTAATTATGCATTAGAACACATTTTATGTGATTTAATATTTAAATATACACATTTTGTACTATTTATTGTATGAGTTATACAACATTAATTTTTTATTCTCGTATTGATAATTAAACGTACTTTTACTTATTATAATATAATATTAAAGAATTATTTATCTTATATATAACATTCAACGTTTATTAATTTATCACAATAATAGGATTGGCGATGTGTAAGAATTAATGTATTATTGCATAAAATTTTGTATGTAAAAAAATTAATATATGTGATATGAAATTATTATACAAATTATATAATCGTAATATATAATACATTTACACAAGTGTTTTATTGTATATTATTGAATATTCTAAATGAGTACGCATTAATCTGAATTATAGAAACCCAAACCAATAGATTATTACATATCAATATTATCATATGAAAAAGATAACATATATAAGTAAATAATATGAATAATTTTTTTATTACATACTATAAAATTCATTTATAATAATCAATTTATTTAACATAGAAATATATATATTTCACATTTCATAAATATTCAGTCTCCAATATTATTCTTCTACCTAGAATGCTCAACTAGGTGAAGTTTTTTTTATTTATATATTTATCTTGTATTTATATTTCAAATATTTATAAATATTTGTTCTTATAATGATTATCTTCTTTAGTTGTTATAATATTATTTTTTCTTATACAGATAATAAAACATTTACCAGAATGAATAATTAGAAATATTAAATTTATTATATTATTTTTATTATAGCCTATACATATAAAAATAAATTAAACATAGTAATATAAGGAACTAGTATGCTATAATTATTATTTATGTGATATGACATACATGCAAAATCATTAACTGTGCTCAAAATATTAAAAAAAATTATTTAACGTAAATTGTTATATAAAAAACTAAATATCCTCATGAATCGTTCTTTTATGAACATTTTATTTATATCATATATATATTGCGTCATACTATTATTATACATTATCATTATAATATTTATTAACAAATTTCATTTTTTTTTTATTGTAAACAAATTTGTTATTATTACATGCTTCAGCATTTTAGTATATATTCTTCTTATGTATAAACATTTCTTGAAATTTACGAATACGTATTATTTGTTGATGCAATTATTACTAATATTATTTTATTAAATGAATCAATGAATTCCATTGCTAATTAATCATTGTTTTAATTTAATATGTAATACGTATTCATGTATAATTTAACAAACTCGTGAATATTTGTATTGCATTCAAATTGCCGTATGCGTAAGCTTAGATATTAAAAATTATTTATTATTTAACCTTCAACTTGTCAATTTCTGGAAGTTATATATAATTAATTTTTTGTTACTATTCTTGAAATTAACTATATTTCAAAGGTTTAGACTGTTTTTTTCAATGAGAGATAACATTTTAAATTAAACTAAATTACTTTTATTATCATAATACGAATATAAGGTATAATAATTATATATATTTTGCATATTAGTTGCATTCACTAGGATCTTATTTAATAGAATGCTAATAAATGTATCACTCCCCAGAAAAATCGTATCATAGATAATTCAAAAATTAATTTAGTTTCCATTTTTTTCATAACTAAAATCCAGTGATAATAGTGTAGCTATTATTAATATCTCATCTCCCACATATTATTATATTTCTTAATACGACCATTTTCAATTAAATTTTATGTTTTCTGTAAATCTAAAAATTTGTGGGCCATAAGACAATCTATTACAAATATTTTTTTTTTCTTATTTCTTAAAATGAAAATTATATAAGTATTGTCCAAAATATATATAGTATTGTTATTATCTAATGTATGCACTTTTATAGTTTTTTTCTTGTATAATTAAAAAAAATTAATAATTGCATATAAATAATTAATTTTTCTGCTATTTTTCCAGATATAATTATTAAATTCAAACCTTAGAAAAAGATCAAATCGTATATATGAAAAAGAATTATTGTAAAAACGTGTTTCTATGTATGAATATCTCTGTAGAATTAAGTAAGATATACTAAATTATTTAAAAATATATTAATTTATGATGATATTCTTATAAGATATATATATATATATATGATTATTCATTTAGTTATAGGAGACTAAAAAATTCATAATATTAATAATAAAACTGCTATGAAATAAATATATTCCTTCCACATTAATTTAAATTACTAACTATAATAATATAAATAATATTCTCATAAACTTAAACTAAAAAAAATGTATACCCAAAAATATTTTTGTTTAGGTTATTATTTATTTAAGGTTTTCTATATGGTTAAGGACATTACAAATTTTTATTATAACAATTATATATTCCTAATATTAAAATATAAATCATATGTTCTTTGCTTAAGTAATATTAAAATATTAATTTAAGTAAATATTATTAAAATATTAACAAAGTATATTTATATATATAATTATTATATTAATAATTATTCCTAATCACATCATTATAAAAACACACTTCATATTATTTTTCTTGTTGAATGTATATTTCATAAGTACCTTTGTAAATTTTTTTATACGCAATTTTCTGTTCTATTATTTAAGTGTGTCTATTTATTACACATTTAATCTATAAGAGTGTATGGAATATTACGATATATATTTTAAAATAATGGTGTTTTATTTATATATATTTATTAAATATATTAAGGAAAGTAATATATACTTTTGCAAGAACTGTTTTTTGTATTTTTTTTAAATATATATGAGTTTTAATTTATTACATCATTCTAGTTGTATCTCCAAAAAAATATTTTATTTTTCTTAATTATTTGAAAAATTATAAATAGAAGCAATTAAATTATATAGTATTGTGCACGAGGAGAAATATATGCTTCAAAACCGAAATGTACGTTGAATATACATTGTATACAAGCAATTAATATTAGTATTTAACTAAAATGGATAAATTAATCTATTAAGTATATTTATATTGTACACATTAAATAATGAAAATGCTAATACTATTATAATAAGAGAAAATTGAAATGCAAATAAAAACATTATGTTATTTCTATCTACAAATGATGGTATCTAAAAAGCATTATTTATGCTTTTATATCATAAGTTATTCTAACATAGTTTAAAATTCTCTTTTTTAGCAGAATATTTTTTATTTCTTTTTTTTTCTGTACCCATTTTTATGACGACCATAAAAATAACAAAACTAATTTCATTTTAACGCTTCTCATATTATGTGGTTAATTTAAAAACATTTTTTTCATTATAATGAAGAATTATTAAATATTCATATTTTTTAATAAGCTCTGATTACCAATGCTTTTGCAATATATATATTTATATTCCAATTATCTAAATTTGAAGAATCTTTAATCGATGTTCTTAAAAATATAAATA